ATCGCGGCCTCCTTCCCGGCTGCTGAAGCTGCCATCCCCTGATGCGAGCTTGGCAGCGTCCGCCAGGAATGCAGCCAGCCGACCACTCGCACCACTGTCACCACCAGGAGCAGCAGCCGTAGCAGCAGCAGCATGGGGAGAAACGTCAGTGGCAGCAGATGCAGCACCGCCACTGATGCTGTTCCCAGTGCCGCTGCCACTGCCACTGCCACTGCCGCTCTGCAGCCTCCTCCGCCTCATCTGCTGCAGCAACTGCTGGTGTTCACTTGCCTCCTGCATCTGCTGCTGCTCCTGCATCTGCTGCTGCTCCTGCATCTGCTGCTGCTCCAGCTCATACCCGTCCTGCTGTCTGTATCCCGGTTCCTGCCCTTGACCTTCGTCTCCATACCCATAGCCCAATCCACCCCCCATGGCACGCAACCCCACCTCACACGCACTAGCCTGCCTCCGCCCCCTTCCCCCCCTCACCACTGCCCCTCCCCCCTCCGCTCCGCCTACCCCACCCCCTCGCCTTTCCCCCCCCTGCCCCTCCGCTCTCACAGGCCCCATCTCCTCCTTGGCCCAGCTGCTGCTACTGCTGTTACCGCCCTCTCCTGCTCTATCCATGCCCCCCACCCCTCCTCGCCCTCCTTCCCCTGTTCTCCTCGCAACCACTGATCCTCCTCCTCCTACCCCTCCTCTCCCTCCTGCCCCACCTCCCCCACCTCCCGTCCCCATCCCTCCAGCTTGCCCCACTGCTCCCCCAGCGGGCATGCCGGCAGCGAGGGCGTGGTGCAGGAGGTGGCGGGGCACGTCTTCGAAGCCCAGGTAGAAGTCCACGGCGGACGGGCCCGCTGCTGCCGTGTGCACCGCTGCCGCCTTGGCACGCCGCTGGTCACGTGCAGCTCGAATCATCTCGTCCACACTCACCATCCGCCTGTGCTGCTGGCTCGTCTCGCCCTGCCCCCCCGCCCCGTCCCCACGGTTGACCACTGCCCCTGCTGCTGCCCCACCGCCCCTCGCAGCACCAACAACAACACCAGCACCAACACCAGCAGCACCAACACCAGCAGCACCAACACCAGCAGCACCATCACCAGCAGCACCATCCCCAGCAGAATCCCCAGCAGCACCAGACGCAGCAGCAGGAGCGGAGCCAGAAGGGTGGTCAGTGGTGGTACCAGCATGGGGGGCAGCGGCGGCCATGGCGTTTCGGTACCGCACTGCCTGCAGCCGCTCTTCCCTCTTCTTCCTCCGTGCCATGCCATCCGCCACACTCATGCCTCCCGCCCCGTCCGCTCCTCCCACTCCCCCCTCTCCATCCCCTGCCCCTGCCCCTTCCTCTCCCCCTGCCCCCTCCCCTTTTTCAGCCCCCAGCCCTGCCCCTGCTCTCCCTTGGCCTACCTGACCAGCAGCGCCAAGGGCAGACCCGGATGCGTGCCCCTGCTGGCCAGCCGCCCTGCCTCTCTCCTGCGCGCTGTACCCGCCCTGCTCCGTGAACGACCCCATGTCGCTGGACGCGCGCTGGCTGTTGCTTGCCCGCTCGCCCAGCGAGCTCCGGTCACTGTACGACCCATTCCTCCTCTCCCACTCCTGCTGCTGCTGCCGCCGTCGCTGCTGCTGCTGGTGTTCCTGCTGTTGATGCTGCTGGTGCTGCCCCTGGACCCCGTACTCTTCTTCCTCGCTCCTATACGCGCCATCCACTCCTCTCCTCGCCTCAACAAGCCCCTGCCCCTGCGCATCTCTCTCCTTCTGCCTGTACGTATTGGCCTGCCACGCCTGCCTTTCAGACTCGGACCCGCCACGCATCTGCCGCCGAGGCTCCCTTTCAGGCTCGGACATCCCTCTCCCTTGCTGCCGAACCTGCCGATCAGGCTCGGACCCACCTCTCCCCTGCTGCCGAACCTGCTGGTCAGGCTCGGCGCCACCGTGCCACGGCTTGAGCGTGGCTTCGGACTCCCAGACGCCCTCCTGCTGGCAGTCGTCCACGAGATCCCTGGCGGCCTGCAGCACGCTCTGGATGGCGTCCTGGTTGCGCTCGTACCCCTCAAACGCCGCAAAGTCCTCGTGCGTTAGGCTCGCTAGGGGAGACGTCGGTGGAGTCGTTCGAATGCCACCACCTCCACCACCACCGCCAGCCCCACCGCCACCCCCACCGCCGCCACCACCGCCGCCACCACCCTTTCCTACCACAGCCCCCCGCCCTCCGCCCCTACCGCCTACCAGGCGCCTACCGCTGGCATCTCCGCCAGGAAAGCCGTCCCTGGAAGGCCTCTCCCAAAATGCCCCTTCCCCAGGGGAGGTAGTCCGTGCTCCTGCTGCTGCTGCTGCTGCTGCTGCTGCTGCTGCCCGCATCCCTTGCCCAGGAGCACCCATTGCGCGCCCCTCCATCCCCCCCTGCCCCGTTTGCCTCTCTCCTGCGCCTCCCCTCGACCACTCCGCGGGGGACGCGCCTGCACCTGGTAATCCCTTACCGCTTCCACCCCCGCCACTCCCACCACCGCTTCCGCCGCCGCCTCCTACTCCTCCTTTTCCTAATCCCCCGCCCCTGCCGTATGCGCTACTGCCGCTCGCGAAATGCCGAGCCCCAGCACCCAGCTGGTTACCACCGGCGGCGAAGGTGCCGTGCGTGACATCCGCGAGGTCGTCTGACGTAGCGAACTGCTGCGAATCGTACGAAATCGGCCTGCGACGATCCTTGCTAAGAGCGCCCACGGGACCCCCGCGACCTGGCCCCGGCACGCGGGGAGGCACGCGGGATGCGGCAACTATCTCGCCCATGTTTCCCACGCTGTGGCTCGAAACCCTAACTCGCCGACCAGGCATACCGCCATCCGTCTGCGGCGCATAAACTTCGCTATTCTGCTGCGAATAACTTACCTTTGACGGTTCCCTGCGACAATCCGCCTCTAACTGTTCTTCCGAGTGAGATGCTCGACGCTCCGCGCCGCGCGTAGCGACGTCAGGCGAGGAGGAGAGGGAGGAGGCGAAGCTCGGCAGGTTACTGTGGCTCCGGCTGTGCCGGTCTGACGATTCCTGTCGAAGCCGTATCGCGGCTGACGGCGGACGGCCGAAATTGTCGGCGGACTGCTGCCGGCCGTGACGTGGCCGATAAAGGCTCGGAAACGGCAAGCCTCCATGCTGCTGCGCCGCGGCGCCACGTGGCGGTGTCGCTCCCGCAGCGGTGGTTTGTTCGGGACGGGCGATGTAAGCTTCTCGTTCAAAGGGCTCGTTCTCAAACGATTGCGGCTGCTGCTGGTTGTGCGACGGGAGTTGGCGTTGGCGTGGGCGTGGATCAACGCGTGGCTCGTACTTCCGTTGCTGCTCCTCCTGCGCCTGTCGCCGCTGCGGCCGTACCTGCTGCTGCTGCTGCTGCTGCTGCTGCTGCTGTTGCTCGTAATAGTAACGCTGCTCTTCGTCCTGCGAGTTATCTTGCTGATATTGCTGGTACTCGCCGCTACGCGGCTCCCTCTCATCGCGATAGCCTCTCCCATACTGCATCGTCGCATCATGCTGCGGCTCCTGCACCTGCCGCTGCTCCTGTTCCTGCCGCCACTGCTCAACGGGAATTAGCAAGCTTCCGGCCGACGCGCCTCGCCGGTGCTGACCTTTACGGAGACCCGTCGACGGGTGCGTCTGTGGCTGCGTAGCGTACGGCTGCGATTCATATGGTTGTTGATCGTACGGTGAGGGGCTAGACGCGGCGTTGGACGACATCCTTCCTGACCGTTGATTTGAGGGGATGTCGTAGCAATCGCGGAAAACGTCTGCGGTGCTCATGCTTCGCAATTGAAGCCTGTGATGCGTCTGGAAGGCATTGGTTTTGGGAATAATTAAGAAATTAGTCGTAATAAATTACTATTTCCCGCAACTCGACGAAGCTACGCGCCAGCCACCTTCATTCCCAAGTCCTAGAGGGTTGCACTATCCAGGCAGACGTGCACAGTGTGTGCACAATGTGGCTCTAGGGGGAAACAATACAGGAGAGGAGATACAAGTGGTTCTGCTGGTGGGTGTGGTGGTTGGCGAAAGACGCAGACACCCCAACCAATCAAACCGAACCAGGCGGCTTCCAAATCTCAACTCAATCCGTGTTTAGTCCAAAAGCCTAGACAGACAGCCCAGTCATCCACTTTCCATTGCAAAGGCTGCACGGAAATCCATTAGAGCTTTCCTAACGCGCCTTGCTCTTTCCCACCCTTTCCTTCCGTCCGACCTCCATCCCTCCCTGCCTCCCATGGACGGTTTGCCCACGGGACTGGTTTATTGGGGTGACCTTGGGATTGCCCATCAGAGCTTGTTGCAAACCAGAAGGATTCCGCCCGATATTCACAGTACTTGTGAACGCAGCCCCAGGAGGAGTTAGGTCAAATGGAGCTGTGGACGGAACGGGCCCGACCTAACATCCCACAATCAAACCCGCTGCCAACCTATGCCAACAGCGTACACCCCCCGGGTGGCTGGCTGACGGGTGAGGGAAAAAATACGCGCAAGTGTTACGAGTGCATTATAACTGCTATGAATGAACTTGCAGAGTGCGCAGTAAAACGAATATCTAGAATGATTTTTTTTTTGTAATTGCATTATACACCGAATAGGCAAGTGTACAAAAGCAAGAACAGTCGTAACTGCGCTTGGAGGCTAAGTGGTAACCCGCCTCAGTGTAGCTGCCCCGGCCTGATGTTGCCCCTTCTCTGTCGCGTCCAGATGGCTGCAAACCCCGCCTTCCACGTCCACTTCTTAGCGTTTCTGTCCCTGATTCGATCCAGAAGCCTCATCTCCTGGCTGGGCCCTCCTCCACGTGTCACCTTCTGCCCTGTTGCGCTGTCTTTCTGCAGTTTTTCACCCGTGTGTTTCATGAAGATCCTTGCATGCAGCCGGAAAGCTGCCTTTATCCTCCATAGTACCCGTCTCAACCGAAATTTTTGCTCCCGGAAAGCCGCTGCACATCTCTCAACCCACAGCTGATGGATAGTGATCGCCGTAAGCGTTGCTTCCGGAAAAGCTGAGCTGGACGACGCTCACCCAAAAAGAAGGTCGCCCAGCGATGAGATGGTGCGCCTGGGGTTGAGCATCTTGAGAGCCGTTTTCAAAGCCCCCATTATTGGCTGAATCCTCGGGCACTCAAAAAGGCAGTGCTCGAGTGACTCCTCCTCGCTACAGTACGGACATTTCGGCTTCGAGCTGAGGAAAGCCAGCCTTTCCCCGACCTGAAGGTTGAAGTTATGCACCCTGATTAAAACATCTCTGAGATAACTAGGCGTGGTGAGCGAATCACGGATCTTGGACGTCTGCTTCCAGTCAATTGTCCCCCCCCATCGGTTCGCCCACTTCTCTCTCCTCCGCGCCGAGTGCCCCTGTCTTCTCCATGCTAACCGCAAGTGCTTTATCGGGGCGACTTGGCCGAGGTGGAAAATGAGCGTGAGGAACAGTTTACCCCCACGGGCTACCACTGCTCTCCCTCCCATGACTGCGCCCTGAATTCCTTCTGATGAGGCGAGCAGCAGCTCCCTCCAGTTCTCAGGGGCGGCAGCCAGCCCCTTCAGAGCCAGCCGAGCAGATGCTATTCCGAGCGACATTGCTAGGGTTTCCTCGCTCTTTACTGCCATCCCACCATTCGCCATGGGCGCCACCAGGTCCCCCAGCTTGATCTCCCAAAGCGCCTTAGCAGCCTTCTGTCCCCCGACCGGCGTTCTCCCGTTAAGCAGAATGCCTTTGTTGAAAACCAATCTCTCTGCAACAACTTCCGCTGCGGTGAGAGGTATGCTGACGGTGGCAAACGACGACGACATGAAACACTCGCAGGTTTGCTTCCATCGCGCGCTCCCATCGACCCAGTATTTCAACAGCTTCTCATGTGATAGGAAAGTATCCACCCCCAGCGGCAGCCCTGCTGCTGCGAGCATCATGTCTCGTTTGAAGTCGTCCCTCTCGGTGAGCAGGATTCCGATCCTTCTAGTAGCCAGACAGGCGACCAGAACCCCCGGGTCCTTCACTCCGACACCTCCCTCCTCTCGTGTTGCAAAGATTGTTTCCTTCCCCCACAGGATGAAACACCCCTCCTCTGACGCGTGGTTTCCTGAGAGGAAGTTATGAATCAGCTTCGAGATCCGAACCTAGACCTCCCGCGGTGGCGGGTAGACCTGCGCCTGGAAGGCGATGATCGGGGTAATGTATCCATTGATGACGACCGCCCTTGCCGTAATCGTGAGGTACTTCAACTCCCATTTCCCCATCTCTCCCAGGATTCTCGCCAGTGTCCTGTCCCATGTCACCTTGCAATCACCTGAAGCGGTGACCCAGATTCCAAGCGGTCTTTCCGCATCATTTGCACCGGCCCATTTGAAACCATCCGGCCTCCAGGGACGACCTCCAAGATTTCTGCCCAGCGGCATCACCACCGACTTATCCTTGTTTGTGACCAAACCATAAACGTTCTCAAAATAATCCAGCATTTTCCCTGCTTCTGCAATCTGCTCCCTCCCCTGCAGCAGTAGCGTGGTATCGTCCGCATAGCCCAGGTAAGGCATCCTCCTCCCCGAGTCACTGACAATGCCCAGCTGCTTTGCCGCTTCCTGGGCCAGGGGTTCCACCGCACATATGAAGAGGTAAGGGGCGAGAGGACAGCCCTGCCGCACCCCCGAGACCACCTCCAAGGCTTCACTCTTCCATCCGTTAATTAACAACCTTGTCTTCGTTTCCTTGTGCAGGCCCCTCACCCAACCCACAAAACTCGGAGGGAAGCCCATCTTCTCCAGCGTCTAAAAAAGCTTTTTGAAAATCCACCAGCAGCAAAAACCAGTCCTTGTCCCCTTTGTTTGCGGCATCAATGATATCAGCCACCAGGCTGACCGCGTCAGACAATCTCCGACCCGGTATGAAGCCGTACTGCTCCTTCGAGATCACTCGGTGCAGCACCTTCTTCATCCGGTCCGCCACCACTTTCGCCAGGACTTGGTAAGTGAAATTGAGAAGCGTGATAGGCTGGTAGTTGCTTATTTGGCCTTTATCGCCCTTCTTATGTAACAATATCGTAACCGCCTCCTTGGTGCTTGCAGGTAGTGATGCAGAGGCTAGTTGTGCTATGGGTGGAGTCTGTCCTACCGAGATGATTGGTACTCCCTCAGTTGAGCCTCCTTTGTTCTCAAAAGCTCCCTTGTACGTGTGCAGTTGGGTGCTCCCATGGCCGCCTGCTTCAGGTTCGCCACCGCATCGGACAGGTGCCTCATTGTTGCCTTAACTCTCTTGCCCTCCTCCTTAGCATAGGCGCGAAGTCCTGCATTCAGCTGAGCCAGCAGCAGAGCATAATCCCCCATTGACTGCTTTGCCGCTGCTTCCACCACCTTCCTTACACCCGGCCTATTGAGCAGGTGGGATGGAAACCTCCAGACCCCCGGTCCAAGCTTTGCTTTAACACTGCAGCGGAAAGCCACTCTGATGGCAGAGCCATGATCCGAGATCAGGTCATCAGGCGACTTATGCGAGGCTGACTCCAGGCCGGGAAGCAGCGACCGCGAAATCAGAGCACGGTCGATCCTCGTGCTGGCCTGCTTCGCCGCCGACATGAAGGTGTATTCTCTCTTGGTGGGGTGTAGGGTACGCAAGGCGTCCGAAATCTGGAACACCCCGCATCTGCGTACCAGTCTGATGTTTCCGGCCACTGAGCCTGCTCGTGATGTCTTGTCTGAAAAAGGGTTATCGATCATGTTGAGGTCCTCCATGATGAAGACGTGGCTACCCGGGTCTATCTGATCAACTACCGGTCCGACAACGTCCCTGATGAACCCCACGCGAGCTGCTGGCAACGCTGGAAAGTAAGTTGCTAAAAGGGTGATGGAGAGACCTTTACCTATAACCTCTATCCTAATGAGTCTACCTGAGGGGTGAGTCAATGTGTTTCTAAACTGTATACCAGGATCCCAGGCAATAACAGCGACACCGCCAGCTCTCTCCTGAGGTGTAACTGCTACCACTGAGGCTGCACTGAGTTTGTTCCAGTAAGAGTGGTTCCCTTCCAATCTAGTATCTGTGAGGATGTTGATGTCTGCCGCTGTCAGAACATTATAGCTTATGCTGTTGTGTAGGCTATAGTGGGGTATCCCATAGGGGGTACAACCCAATTAGGGTTTCCTATATATACTCACTTCATTCATAGTTGATTCATTCGCGTTCTCCTTTTCACATGGAATCAGAGCAGGTCCCCTCCTAGGGACTGTTTCTAGGGCCCACCGAAGCGCGCCCCGAGGCGCGCTTTCCTTTTTTTTTAGCGACCCTCCGTGTCACCCCTAGCGGCCCGTTGCGCCGCCCTTACCTACGCGGCCCCGCCGCCCTTACGTCGTGGCCCCGCCGCCCTCACGTCGCGGCCCCGCAGCCCTCACCTACGCGGCCCCGCCGCCCTCACCTTCGCGGCCTCGCCGCCCTTGCCTACGCGGCCCCGCCGCCCTCACCTACGCGGCCCCGCCGCCCTCACGTCGCGGCCCCGCTGCCTCACCTAAGCGGCCCCGCCGCCCTCACGTCGTGGCCCCGCCGCCCTCACCTACGCGGCCCCGCCGCCCTCACGTCGCGGCCCCGCCGCCTCACCTACGCGGCCCCACCGCCCTTACCTACGCGGCCCCGCCGCCCTTACGTCGCGGCCCCGCCGCCCTCACGTCGCGGCCCTGCCGCCCTCACCTACGCGGCCCCGCCGCCCTCACCTTCGCGGCCTCGCCGTCCGTGCCTACGCGGCCCCGCCGCCCTCACCTACGCGGCCCCGCCGCCCTCACGTCGCGGCCCCGCCGCCTCACCTACGCGGCCCCGCCGCCCTCACGTTGCGGCCCCGCCGCCCTCACCTACGCGGCCCCGCCGCCCTCACGTCGCGGCCCCGCCGCCCTCATCTACGCGGCCTCGCCGCCCTCATCTACGCGGCCCCGCCCCCTCTCCTACGCGGCCCCGCCGCCCTCACCAACGCGGCCCCGCCGCCCTCACCTATGCGGCCCCGCCGCCCTCACCTTTGCGGCCCCGCCGGTCTCCCCTCCTGCCGAGCCGCCCGAGCAGCCGACCGCCACGCCGCCCGGTACCAGAGCAGCCGAGCCGCCCAGCAGCAGCCGCCGAGCCGCCGGGCCGCCGAGCCGCAGTACAGCCGAGCCGCCCAGCCGCCAAGCCGCCTCGCACCCGAGCCGCCCTACTGCCGAGCCGCCCGACCTGCCCTGTCTGGTGAGCATGGCCCCCACTGCTACTGCGTGCCCTTTCCCCACTACTTGGACTGCTAGTCTGTTGTCATGGCTACCCCTAGTGTCCTCGCTTTTGACGCTGAGGGTCGAGCCATTGACTTTGAGGTCTGGGTCGACGACCTGCAGCTGTTTTTACAGTGCTATAGGGCGGACGGTCATTCTATCTTTGACCTCACCCCTGGCGCCTCTCCTGCCCTTGCTGCTGATGCTGACCCCACTGTTCGCTCTCAGTGGGCCACCCGCGATGCTGCTGCACGTCTTGCTGTGCGTCGCCACCTCCCTACCACTGAGCGCGCGCGCTTTAGTCAGTACAAGAGTGCTCAGACCTTGTACGGCGCTGTAGTTGCGCGCTACTCTTCCCCTGCCACTGCTCCACTGAGCCGCCTCATGCTACAGTACCTCTTTCCTGACCTTGCTGCCTTTCCTACAGTCGCTGACCTCATCACGCACCTTCGCACTTTTGACACTCGCTACCGCGCCGCACTTCCTGCTGAGTTCTGCGCTAAGAACCCCCCCCCATGTACATCACTCTCTATTACATAGTCACACGCCTCCGTGACTCCCTTCGCGTAGTCAGGGACCACTTCCTTTCAGTCTGTCCCACCACCCTCACTGTCGACCTCCTTGAGAAGGCCCTCCTGGCGGCGGAGAAGTGCATAGTCTCTGTAGGAGCCTCTCGTGGTGACCCTCGCACCCCCATCTTTGAGGGGTGTTCTCCTTCCCCCCTGCTGCCCTCTGTTGCCTCTGCTGCTGCTGCCGACATGCTTGGTCTTGAGTCGGTCGGCGCGGCGTCTGCCCCTAGCGCGAGACGCCGCCCTGGCAAGGGCAAGGGGGGCAAGGGCGCGGGTGGAGCTGGCGGGGGCGGTGGTGGCGGTGGAGGCGGCGGAGGGAGTGGGGGTGGCGGTGGGAGTGGTGGTAGTGGTGGTGGCGGCAGTGGGGGCGGAGGCGGTGGCGGCGGCAGCGGAGGGAGCGGAGGCGGCGGTGGTGGCGGAGGTGGAGGCGGGGGTGGTGGCGGAGGTGGAGGCGGCGGTGGCGGAGGGAGTGGAGCTGGTCGGAGTGGTGCCTCGCAGCGGAGCGGCTCTGGTGGTGGTCAGCGCCAGCAGCAGCAGCAGCAGCGTTCTTGGGACATCCCCCCGCCTCCGCAGCTCCGTGAGTGGTACACGCAGCGTCAGCGTGGTGGGGGCTTTGGACCGTGCACCTACGTTCTTCATTCTGGCGACCGCGCGGGTGAGCAGTGTGGGGGTGCCCACCCCACCCAGCGCTGCTTTGGCCGCCTGACGGACGCTTGGCGTCTGCAGTTCCCCGAGGCTAGTAAGATCCCACGCTAGGGAGAGCTGTCTAGGGCAGGTGTTGCTATCTATGATCTCGACTTTGATGCTATCCTTGCTGCCATGTATGCTGTGACTATTAGTGATGAGGGTGACTGTTACCGGTGTTTCCCGCCCGACCCGGGCATTGGTACTGCTGCGCTAGGTGCCTGTGAGGCTGCTGCTCTAGGTGCCAGTGCGTCTACGCTCTCAAGTACTGGTGAGGCTGCGCTCTCAGGTACTGCGTCGGCTTCGGCCCCCCTCACCTTCACACTTGACTCAGGAGCTTCTCGCTCCTTCTTTCGAGACCGCACCACACTCACGCCGCTTGGTCGGCCGGTTGCAGTCTCCCTGGCTGACCCCTCTGGGGGTCCTGTCCTTTCTCACTTCTCCACTGTCCTCCCGTGTCCGGCTGCCCCCTTGGGCACCCTGTCTGGTCTGTACCTCCCCTCGTTCTCGACGAACTTGGTGAGTGGTGCTGACCTGCAGGATGCGGGGGTTCACCAGTTTACTCCTTCGAGTCAGCGGGTGACCCACTGCACGGACGCACACACAGGCCGACACCTGGCCACGTTCTCGCATCGGCCGGGGTCGAGCCTCTACACCCTGACCACTGAGTCTCCTCCTGTCCGTGCGTCTGGCCAGGTAGCTGCGTCGGGTCAGGTGTTTGCTGCTGCGTCCCGGTCTGGTCCTGAGTCTGCCCCCTGCTCGTGTCGCCTCCTGTCTCACGAGACTCTCCTGTGGCACCACCGTCTGGGCCACCCTTCCTTGCCGCGCCTTCGGGGCATGGCTTCTCGTGTCCTTGTCTCTGAACTTCCTCAGTCTCTCCCTCCCCTTCCTTCGGGGCCAGGACCTTCCTGTGTCCCTTGTGTCGAGGGGCGGCTCCGGGCTGCCCCTCACTCCTCCAAGTTTCCCCCAACAGAGGCTCCTCTGCAGACGCTTCACATGGACGTGTGGGGCCCGGCCCGCGTCCGTGGACAGGGTCACGAGCGCTACTTCGTGCTGGTGGTTGACGACTACTCGCGTTACACCACGGTCTTCCCCTTGCGCAGCAAGGGTGATGTCACTGAGGTGTTGATCGACTGGATCCGCGCAGCTCGTCTCCAGCTCAGGAGGAGCTTCGGCTCGGACTTTCCTGTTCTGCGTCTGCACTCTGACCGAGGTGGGGAGTTCTCCTCTGGCCTTATGCGAGCCTACTGTCGTGCACGAGGCATCCGCCAGACCTTTACGCTTCCGGACTCTCCGCAGCAAAATGGGATTGCTGAGCGCCGCATTGGCATGGTCATGGACGTAGCTTGTACGTCCATGATGCATGCGGCTGCCCCCCATTTTCTGTGGCCGTTTGCGGTTTGGTACGCGGCGCATCAGCTCAACCTTCACCCCAGGGTCTCCCGGCCGAAGACCTCCCAAGCCTTGCTGTGGACGGGGCAGGTCGGCGATGCGTCTTCGTTCCGTGTCTGGGGATCTCGGGCGTTTGTCCGCGACTTGTCTGCGGACAAGCTGTCCCCTCGTGCTGCTCCTTGTGTCTTCCTTGGCTTTCCCCCTGACGCACCAGGGTGGCAGTTCTACCACCCCGCCTCTCGGCGTGTTTTGTCCTCCCAGGACGTCACGTTCGACGAGTCCGTCCCCTTCTACCGCCTCTTCCCCTACCGCACTCCGTCCCTCCCCCCGCCTCCGCACTTCCTGGTACCAGTTCCCCCCTCAGTAGACCCCCTACCTCCTCAGGGTCCTGCCCCTTCAGGTGTGTCCCAGGTAGACGTGGTCGAGCCGGTCGAGGTTGCTGGTGACCCTGGTACTGCTGCGTGTGCTGCGCCTGGGGGTGCTGGGTCTGGGGGTGCTGCGACTGGGGGTGCTGGGCCTGTGGGTGCCACGCCTGGGGGTGCTGAGCCTGGGAGTCCTGCGTCTGGAGCTGCTGAGCCTGGAGGTGCTGCGTCTGGAGCTGCATCGCCTGGGGGTGCTGCGTCTGGAGCTGCTTCGCCTGGAGGTGCTGTGTCTGGAGCTGCTGAGCCTGGGGGTGCAAAGTCTAGAGCTGCTGAGCCTGGAGGTGCGGAGCCCGTGACCGCTGGACCTGCTCGTGTGCCGTCTAGCGCTGCTGGGCCTGGTGGTTCTCTGGGTGCTTCGTCTCGGCGGGAGCCACTCTCTCCACAGGTATGCGCGAGTGGTTTGCCCGGCCCTGGAGGCGTACTGCTGGAGCTGGATTTTCTT